TATGTCCATGGACTCCAAAAAGATCCAAAAGGGGGTGTACAGAAGGTGAAGGGGCTCTCATCAAAATTCAGGTAAACCTGTGGCCACATCTGTTTACCATCTCGAAGCCTGCCTGAACCTGTGAACATGTGGCCACCCACATGCCCGGGATCGCCATCTTTGCGGCCAATGACCTCAAACCTCCACCTGGGGCCATCTCAAACCTCTTCCTTCTCACCTCCACCTTCTCAACATTTCTCAACGGTTCCCGGACCCCGGACTCAGCAGACCCCACCGAACGGACCCCAAACAGCACGACCTGCTGCACCGACCCCAACCCTTTCCGCCTGCACAAAGGGCCCGGTGAGGGCCGAGGCCACGGCACAGGTGGACGCCGAGGTCTTCTCCAAGCCCTGGCGACCGGAGGGTCGCTGCGTCCGGACGCCACGGCACGGTGGTCTCTACGGCCACGCCATGATGGGTGATGGGTTTCTTGGATGGTCGGACCATGGAGGCGCTGTTCCTTTTTTATCCTTTTTTCGGGGGGAAAGGGGGCCGTGGAGTTCGGGCACAATTTTTAACCACCACGAGCATCCAGAATTGACTTCAGTCCCAATCAAAACCCGCAGGGAGTCTTGGAAACCTCATCCACCAGCTCCTTCGACTCGCAGCGAGTCTCGGAGCGGTGCTTTGGCAAACCGTCCACCAAACAGGCCAGGCCGCACCAAGATTTGCAGCACATAGCCTCGTGACGGTCGCCGGACGTTCGGTCATGGACGTTCGACGACTCACGGAGATTTGGCTCCAGAAGTCGGTTCGCCTTTGCCTCTCATGGAGGGGATGACTTAATAGCATTCCGTACCGTGTGCCGCCGTGCCGCGATGTGTATGATGTGTCGGTATGTGTCGGTTCACTCAAACATCGGTGGGCCACTCGACCCCTGCAAACAGGGCCTTTGAGAGATTGAATCCACAAACCTTTTCTGCTTGCAGTGTTTCTCAGCAAAAAAACATATATTGGCTGTGTAACTAGAACACTCAAAATTGCTTACGCACCTCTTGCGCATCGAGTGTCCCAAGCTTGGCTTCCACCGAACCTTACGTAACCCTTACGCCGTGCAGACTTTAGCTTACGCGACAGTCTTGCAGTTTAATCGGATCATGTGGTTCTTGCATTCAGGTTTTGAACGCTGCTCTCATGTTCATGCAACATCTGATTTCACTAGTCTAATTGAATGTCTTCTGTGCCACTTCCAGACCATCCATGTATATTTATTTACATACATTGGGGGTGGGGGTGGTTGACCTGGGGTGAATGTAGGTCGGTAAATATACCCCATACATGGATTTTTTGCCATGAAACGCTCCACCAACCGCTGGGATGAAATGGGGTTCCACCATGACATATTCAGCGGACACGGAAACCTGCAACCGTTGGCTAAGCTGGGGACTCAACGCAAAACACACCAAACAAGAGGAGATAGCCCTGAGATAGCCGTGTTCCAAATGCTCAAAGTCCAAAACTCACAAGACTCGCAGCGGAATTGACATAGATTCATTGCATTGTTACACAAAATTGGCGTTGAAAGAGTGTGCATGTCTGCCAAAAGACGCGGGATACCGTAACGAACACATGAAAAGGAGGCTTGTTCGGGCCTGACGCCCCGGAACACACCTGAACGATGACAGTCTATACATATCATATCGTATCGTTGGCGAACATGGCGAACACCGGCTGACATGCGTGCTCCGGATGTTGACGGATCCTCCTTCGTCCTCATTGTTTGACGGTGGATTCTCTTTACGATCACCTCGACGTCCGACGTGGACGCCGACGTGACGCCCGATCCTGCAAAGAGCCAGATCGCCAGCTCCACGGAGGGGATCAAAACAGCTCTGACCTACAGGGGTGATGGAGTCGACCGGAATCTTTGACCATTGGGGTGGGGTAGCTCTTGGGTGACTGGGGTGAATGTAGGTAAATACATGGATTCTTCATGATTCTTATATATTCTTAGTACTAAACTCGCTGAAAGTCTGGTGACCAAAAACAGCTCGGTTCACGACGTAATACAGAGTCCGACATGGATTTGCTGAACTTCCCCGGGTCTATGCTATTGCCAGCAAAAGTGGATGATGATGGTTAGTAAAGGCCTTCTTCATTAAAAAAAAATATTGATAACTAGACTATCGATCGAATTGTTTACTGACTGCTACAGGTAAGTTTGGACAAACCCAAGTTTTTCTTATGTGATCTTATGTGTCTTTAATGTTCCTCCGATGTATGCAGCTTCAGTTGTCTACCAAAGCACCTGAATCACTTCGGAGGCGTTGGTAGAACTGCCCCGGGCCACTGCTGTAGTCTGAAGAAAGGTAGGTTCTCGGTTTCCAGAACTTGATAGACTTTAGTAGATGTAACCAGATGTAACATAGATCCCGAAGACTCCATGTATTTTATTGAATCCATGCCATACATTGACCATCATTGACCCCTTTTCAACCACCCCAATGTATACAGTATATAACTAGCATCTTTCCAGTCTCATGGAGGATGGCGATGACAAACTTACTTCTTTTTCCCCAAACAGGCGCCACCAAACCGTGAAGAGCTCACCATCCACCGCTCGAAGCGCGAGTCTGGGAGCGCATCCCAAACCCAGAACATCCATGGGACTGGAATTGTTCTGCCTTCAGTGATTAGGTTTCAACATGTTTCAACCATCCCAATGTTGGGTTCATAGGAGTCATAGGCCAGAAACTCATGGATGGTCTGGGAAAGGATCCCAGGCACCAAGCCCTTTGCATTTGATTGGTCAAAATTGGTCAAGAGATGTCAAACGTACCCCAAACCCCAAACTCAAAGAACGGGACTTTGGAAGCTGTTCGAACATAGGCAAACACATGAGATTGGCGAACCGCATCCTGAAAATGGTATATTAGTTACGCCGTCCTCACCTTCCTCCGCTTTGCAAGCTGCCCTTCTGGTCATGTCACCTTCCTCCAGTTCGTGACCACAAAGGGGACGGAGACCACCTGGCGGCTGCACCTCCCATGGTCACCACCGGAATCTACAACCTACTAGCTACGACATGGAAGTGGATCATGGTGAATGACATGGTTCTTGGAAAATCCTGGGGGGGTGTGGCGAGAGGACCTCCTCTACCAACAGAAGTTTGAAAGCGCTTCGATGTGCTTGTCGGAGGCAATACAACAACAAAAACACACCAATCGAAGGAGGTACCAGGAAGAGCGAACCGATGGGACCTGACAAGTATGGCAAATCAATAATTAGTTGAATCCTGTTGAATCTGATAGGCCTACCCGAAAAGGCATGACCTTAGCCACAATGCATGTCTTTGGACAAAAAATCCAAAAGGAAAACCATCCTTCCCAAACACCCCACCGCGACCCGGAGGGATCCGATTCCCTGCGCATCCCCGGTCGGTCCCCGGTCCCCGGGTCGGTCTCTACCGGGGCGAACCGTGGAGGTGAGGAAGCGAAGTGCCAAGAGCTCAGGGCCGGTGAGTTGCAAGGGCGCGCCAAGCTCCACCCTGCACAGAGAGAGCTGCTTCTAGGAACGAGCACAAGGAAGGTTAGAGGATGAAACATGATGAAAGTGAATTGAGTTGGGGGATGGTTGGGGGTGTGCTCCCCTTGCCTACTGATCTGACGGATCAAGATGGATCAAATCTCACCTGTCCAACAAGCCCTAAGCCGCCTAAGCCCATGTCCAAAGTCAACCGCCACCCAAAATAACCCAAGCAAATAATACCTTGTCTCACAAATGGACACATAACAAAGCAAGTGACCTCGCATGGTGCAGGAATGTCTAGAGTGTAGAGATGTCTATAGAGTCTATATCTTGAGTCGAGATCAAAAATCCTTCAGAGTCCAAAGACTCTTAGGTTCCTTCATGTTCCTTCAACCAAAGCCTGCTTCGAAGCCCATCAGAAGCCCCATGTTGCAACCACGTGGCGTCTTGAGCAAGGGCACGTTTCCACCTCAGCCGCCGCATGTGCCATGCGTCAAACGCCGCCACGAGTCCGACGCTGTCCTGATTCGGGAAAGGAAAGCTCGACAGAGATTAAGATCCCAAAGACCCCGAAGCTCATGGTGTTCGTCCGGACTGAGCAAAATTCATGGCTCGTCCTTTAGATTGAAACCGGGTCAAGTGGACGCTTCGCCGGTTCATACTCGCGCGGCAGCTCTCCGAAGAAGCAAACGAGAGAAAGAGAGAGAGAGAGAGAGCGAGAGAGAGGCGAGAGAGAGAGAGAGAGAGAGACAGAGAGGGAGGGAGCGAGAGAGAGAGAGAGAGAGACGCTGATAGTCTCCAATTCAAAGTGAGATAAAGTGAGTCTTCTCCGGCTCTTGACATGAAACAGGGGCATGTATGGCTGGACGTCTTATCCGACGGCCGGATACATTGTGAGTGTCCAATACCGCCCAAATAGTCTTGGAGATGCTTGGAGTGCCCAAAGAGACTCTGATCTCATCCAACGACCCTTGATGAGCAGGCTCTTCCCCATGCCGTAGAGCTTGGAGCTGCTGCGGTCGTCCGTTCGTGCTTCGACCACCAGACTTCAGTGGAGCCTCTCGGCTCGGGTTTCTTTCGCATCCACTGGATGGAGGGCAACAAAATTCAACATATTCCCCTGAAGATCGAGGATTGACATCGGGTTCAACAACCAACAAATCACCCCCTTCTCCGCAACAAAGCAGGACTAGCTCCCCACTGCCTGGCTGCACCTACAAAAGACTTCCCTCAGGTTCCAGGCCATAGAGGATGGCCATGAAAAGCAAGACCAACGGCGCCGTGGCCTCGCACATCGTCAGTCGATCCGAGCACATCCCATGAACCAGCAGCCAGTCCCGATCCTTCAATCCCCTGGAGACTCTTGATTCATAACCCTCCAAACATGGATTGAACACTTCATGTTATGGGGGTTGAAATATCATCTGTCCTACATAAATTAAACTATATATTAATACAATATAAATATATATATATAATATATATATAATTATGGTGATCGGAGCCCCTCAAAACCCTGGTGTGTGTGAGAGGGTCCAAATCATGGTGGCCTTGCCCTCTCACGGCACAGAAAGCACACCTCAAAACAGCATCAAACGGTTGCAAGACCCTCCTAGACCCCCAGACTTCAACGAGAACCCTTCGCTACGCACCAGGAAAAGTCATGTAGAGTTCGGTTCCTGCACTTGCCTAGGTTCAACACGAAAGTTCCAGGACTCCATCCCGGCCCGGAGCTCCGGGCCCGACACGCGACGCGAACACGCTCGACGCCGACACCGCTTCTTTTCGTGGATCGTGGGCCGACACCGCTGGTCGCTGGTCGCCTGGGTTGGGTGGTCGGTGGTGGTGAGGGATGGGACGTGGGACGTGGTGAGCATCAGGAGTTTCAACCTTTTTTGAGGTTTGGGTGGTGCAGGATAGATCAGGTTGGCCTTGGGATATTCAGCTGTTCATGATGGATTGAAGGGATGATTGAGTCATGGCTTTGGTGCCGGAAATATAAATCCTGAGAGGCAATGACGAGACATTTGGGAATTTGATAAGATTCTGTAACATCCAGGTGATCTGAACATCTGGTGTGCAGTTGTTGAAATTTAGCAAAGTACCACTGCGATTCCAACGTTGGAGTGGTCTTTGACCAAAACGCCGTCGAGTCTGGTGGATGTTTTTCTTCGCTTCCACCGAGCCAACTGGAGTTTCGGGTTCCAGGTACTGAGATGCAGTTGCCGCAGTTGCCAGTGATCCCTCCGTTGAGAGAAGTGCTTCAGATCAGTAAGCGCAAAGAATCCATTCCAGGTACTCTTCTGAAATGAGTGACACCCCGCCCCCCAAGCTGTTGCCAAGCACAGCCTCCCAAACCAGACAAGGCACCAATCGCGGAGTGCTGCCTGTGAAAAACGGAGAAAACAAGGAAGAACATGGCAAGAACAAGGGTACATTCAACTGCACCAAGAGTCACTGTTAGAATCAAATCTAGTATGATCTTGTACTTGTTCCTTCCTCTGAAGAATCCAAATGTACTAGCCTTCGACCATCTGAATCTGAGAGTTGAGGTAGAATCAGTCGTAGGCAAACTATCGTTCATTCTGAGAAAGCATTTCATTTACTGCGGCCTACAAGAAGTAACCATGCCAATCTGCTCCCCAAACCATTGATTTACTGTTTCAAATCAAACAGGTTGCTGCGAGGTTACCTTTAGGATCAGTGAATGAACGGTCACTTCAAGAAAGCGCAAATTTCAAAAGGCGTTTTGCAAACATATTTAAACCATATCTTTGGATCGATAAGCTTTTGGCTGAAGCTGACTGGCCTGATGCCTTGAATTACGTAGGCACTAAATTCTTGGTGTACAATGGTGTCATACCCAAAAGGGGGTGCGGATCATTCACAAGTGTGGCCTGTAAAGGACACACATTTTGCAACTTCCCTAGCATGCAATACATGCGGCAATACATTGATGTGTTTGTCCAAGAATATCAATTGCATCGGACGTAATGTTGGACGTTGATTAGTAATAGGGCCCTCTATAATGCAAAATTGTGGAAACATAATTCTTGACACCCTGTTTGTTTTAAGGGTCCTCTATTATGCCAATTTTTTTTGGATCCTAAGTGTTTATTATCTTAAAATATTTAGGGTTAAGTATATTTCCTTTAGGAAAATAGAAATATTAATTCTTAATACTACTAAGCTAATGGTTGGCTTTCTGAGAGTGTTGATAAGTATAGGTTTCCATAGTTCTTCAAAACTGACAGCTTCCCAAAACCATCAATTCCCTAATCAATCCTTTATGAACAGATTGCTCCTAAACAAATTTTCAAGGTAGTAGACCAGGAAGGCCCGTGATCCTCAATAATGAATTTGTTTTAAGGGTCCTCAATTGTGCAAAGCTTTTTCCTGAAGACAAATATAAATAGTAATTCATCACAGTTGATCCACAGTATTATAAGTAGTGCTACTACTACTACTGCTGCTACTACTACTACAACTACAACTACTATTACTACAACTACTACAACTACTACTACTACTGCTACTCATACTACTACTACTACTACTGCTACTACTACTACTACAACTACAACTACTATTACTACTACTACTACTACTACTCCTACTCCTACGCCTACTGCTACTGCTACTGCTACTCCAACTCCTGCTACTGCTACTGCTACTGCTACTGCTGCTACAACTACAACTACTACTCGTACTACTACTACTACTACAACAACTACAACTACAACAACAACTGCTACTACTACTACTACTACTACTACTACAAAGAGAGAAAGGACAATGAATACTACAATCAATTACAAAAGGAATCCTCCTAGGAACCCAGATTTGTTTTGGTGGTAATTTTTTTTAATAGAGGCTCCCCCATTTGTTTGAGGGGGAGGTCCCTTTTACTAATCAAGATCCAACATTACCAAACAGAGTTGGAGCAAACGGCAGTAGTTCTTTCTTCCTTGAAGAGAGACCGCAACAATTCTATCCATTCCATGTGCTATCAGTGCTATCTGCCATAGTAGTCCATCCTAGAGGTCTTGGATGGTCTTGACTGGCCCCAAAACCGGACCGTCAATGGAAACTCAAAAGGATCGTGTGCAAACTCAAAGGGACCGCAACACTGCACACTTGGACCTTAGCTTTCATTCAACTTCCACTTGGGTCCGGTCCAAGGCATCTTGGGCATCTTGGCATCTTGGAGAAAATGCTTTGGGCTTACATCGTTGGAAACCACCTGAAAAAAGGATCGTAGAAAATGGAAAACACCTGTCCACCTCCTTCTGTCCCCCAAAAAACCCTTGGCCCAAAGATCTTTGAACGGCATGGGACCTCCGCACCACTCGGTACACAGCTCGGTACGGACCGAGGATGGTGGCATCCCCAGTCGCAGTGTGGCGAACGTGGCATCCGCCGTGGGGATTCCGACTTCGTATTTTGCAGCTGTGTCCAATTGAGCCAAAGAGTTAGTCAAATACATACAATAAAACATAGTTATATTATAAATCATGGATCCTGGTTTCTATAACCGGGTAACCCATGGTCATCTCATGTAATACCCCCTCCAAAAAGACATTGAATTGAGCAATTGTTTTCACTGCGCTGCACCCAACACCTCTGCCGGTACCTGTTTATTCGGACGCCGATGGACCGCTGCACCTCGAAGATGTGGCGGAAAGCCAAATCGATTCGCATCAAGTTCTGCTCGAACCAGGCGTCATCGTACTCGCCTGAGCAAGAAACATTATGAATCGGTTGTTTTTCTTCTGCAAACACCACCAATGGGACTGTCATAGATGCCGATCAGTTGGGGTGGTTGACCTGGGGTCAATGGATGTAAATATTGGATAATTATTGGAGACTATAAGTGTTTGGGATAGATGGACATAAATGGACCATGTATTCAATGCCAGCCTCACCTGTCACGTGGTGTGGGTTTTCTTAGATGAACAAGGAAGTCTTGTTGACATTGAATCCTGTAAGTTAAAGGTTCACTTTACTTTGCTGCTAGCACAGTCGCGCCCTAACGACGCAGCAACGCAGGGAATAGAACCTCACATGGGGAATCCGCAAAGGCTTGTCGGATATCATGGTCCCAAAACACTGTGAGTTGCCAATCCCAAGGTGAGAGTAAATTGGTCCGCACCAACTGCATCGTCAAGCTGCTGTGAAAGTCTCGCAGCCACTGAAAAAAGAGCTTGTTCACGTCAGAAGCATTTTGCACGTCCAATGGCGGACCGTCATCCTGAAGCCAAACGCATGTGATGTGAAAGTAGAGTGTTTTGGCAGGGCCTTGCCTTCTGGCATGGACCCGCGTGTGACAGTGTTGTTCTTCGAAACTTAGATGCTCTTTCCAACATTTTCGTCAAGAGACTGTTGACCCAACTTGTCAAAATGCTTCTGCAAATCGGCCGGACCTGCAAGTTTCTACTGTTCAGTTATGTCCCCAAAATGGCAGCGGTTGTGCGCCCGGCTCTTTTGCTCAACAAATGAACCGTGTGCTGCCTGTATGCTTGAGCATAACATAGGCAGCACGAAACTTGCTTTGCCGACCTAGCCAACCTACAAGACCATGGCAAACCGAAAGAATTCCGAAAAAAAACAGTGACTCCCACATGGTGTTCGTCTGAACAACACGTGTGCATGCTGACTTGGACAAAAAATATCAAACAATGAAATGGACATGTAAAGACGCATGTGTCCCACATGTCAAAACGAGTGCAAACCAATTGCAGGGCCACACATGTTCCTACAGCCATATCCACTCCCTGAAGTTCCCTGAAGCCTCAGGTCCCCGACCCAACACCACCAGGCATGGCACGACCCCGCGCACGGCGCCTTGGTTTGATCCAGAAAATCCAGCGCGTGCTGCCGTACCTCGCTGGATCCAATCCAGTTGAGAGTGGTTGGTGGTGGTTGGGCCAGAGATGGTCGGTGGTTGTTGTCAAAATAGAGAACACTACATATCCCTACTACTTCTATACTTGGGGATCTCCATTGGACGCCAATAACAAGTAAGTAGTCAAACGCTCGAACGCTCAGACTTTTGTATAACTCTTGCTGGCTGCATGCCTGACACGGGGCCTTTGAGGCTTTTGCAGCGCTTGCTGGATCAGTATCCTGCGAGGAACCCAGCTGGGCTGACTTCTGCAGGCCACACTCGCTTGCAGGCAAACGCTCTTCTCGGAAGGCATTGTGGGTTATTTTGGACCTGCAGCCATGCCAACCCATCGACCAACCAACCGAAAACCCAACGCCCCACGAAGCGTCGCGCTTCGAGGTCGACCAACCCGCGGGCACCACACGTTCGCTCTCCGCATCAGCGTCCCGCTGCAGCTGCTCCTCGCTCTGTCGCTCCAACTGCTGCCGCCGCCGGGTGCGGAGCTGCGCCTATGAGGGGTCTCGGGCGAGATGTCCAGATTGAAATGGAATGAGCACATCTATGACACGGGCAAGGATTGTATGTAAATAGATGTTAATATGTATATATGCTGGAAGTACATATTAATTGGTGTTGATTTGTTTGATGGTGAAATGATGAAAGGAAATGCTTTGTGGCTTTGTGAGCTTCACCAAACGGGCACCATGCCCAGTTGCACCATGCCACCCTCGTATTATGCCCAAGCAAAAGCCGCAAAATCCAAGCCGGAGATCTCGCTCTTCTGGTAAAGATATGCTCAGATATGTTCAGAGTTTAAATATATATATATATATGCAATGCGAGCATTGTGACAGTTCGCTGTCCAACCGCCACCAGTCAAGTGGATCAAAAGAAGCTGTCCACGGGCCAGTTCGAAGTCGCACAGCCACTTCATAGGAGAGCCCCATAGGTTTCCTTGTCCTCTGGACTTGAGGTAGACGTAGGCTGTGCTGACCGCTTACATGGTAGCGGAGCCCAAGGTGGCATCCGAGTAGATTTGATTTGTATAGCTGTAGGTGTTAGACCCCTACGAGCAATGACAGCGATCGAGCGCAGCAAGGATGGTGTGCCCCAATGGGATGGCTCAGCGAGCACATTCCAAGAATATAGTGAGCTGGCGGAGCATTGGGAACAGACCGTGCCATACCACAAGCGGTACCTGTGTGGACCAAAACTCATGAATGAATTGTCAGGCACTGCAAGACGCTTCATCATGTCGAAGCGTCCAGGATGGCTATCCCACAATGGAGGGGTTCAGACCCTGCTAGCTCACCTTCGCCAGCATCTTGGCCTGCCGCAGCTCTCTGAGATGAGTGAGTACATGAACCGATACTTCAAACAGAGCCGAAGGAAGCGCAATGAATCCATGAACGAGTACATCACTCGGAAAGCAGAGCTCTATGCCCGTACTGAGCAGACTCTTCAGAGGGCACAGAGTCACTATGCCCCACGCTCCAAGGCAGGAAGTCTTCCGGCCATTGAAGAGCCCCTGACACCGCCAGAAGATCCAGTATATCATGATGCCCAGGAGGAACAATCTGCTCCTCCATCCACAGGAAATGAGTCAGCCGGAGATCCAGGGCAACGTACTCCGTCAGGTTCAAACCAATGGGACTGGAACACTTGGCGAGACTGGGGAGCTCATGGGTGGGATTGGAATGACTCTCAATGGCAGGACCGTGACTGGCAACCAAGCCAGACGTCATGGCACACAGACTTCGAAACTAAGCCCAGGGTGCAACTTCTACCCGACTTTGTCCAAGGCTGGTTACTCTTACAAGACGCCGGACTGGACACCAATGAGAAGAATATGATCCAGTCCGCCCTGAAGAATGACTACCGATTCCACAGAGTGGCGCAAGAATTACGCTGCCAGTGGAACGACGAAGACCTCAGGAAGAGAGATCAGGGTGGCCGAGCGACAGCCTGGACGGTGGAAGAAGAAGATCATGATCCATTCACCGGAGACCTGGAAAGCCCGGACCTGAGCCTCTTGGCCTCAACAGGACTCAATGCCGATGGGTTGGCATTGGTCAATGAAGCTGAGTTAGATGCTCAGGAGGCCTTGGCTATGATGGAGAAAGGTCGGAGGACCTTGAGAGAAGCCCGGGCACGACAGCAGTATGTGAAGTTGAGCCGTCAGTATTACGGCAATCCAGGTCGATCTTTCGGAAAAGGTGCACCCGGACATGCGAGAAAGGAGAACCCGAGTACAAGCTCTGCGAGGTGTCTGAGTTGCGGAGGACAACACAGGACAGATGAATGTCCCAAGAAGCAGAAGAGCTTCCAGAGCCAACATGAACCTGACGACCAAGCTCCCTTCATATGCTTGACAGATCAGGTCCTCGCCACCGACTACACGAATGAAAAGATCACGACACAACAAGCTGTCCTACAAGGAAAAGCGGTCGTGGACGGTGGTGCAACACGCACGTTGGGCTCTGTCGTGGCCTTGGAACACCTCATGCGCCTCAACCAAGAGCAGAGCGGGAAGGATGGGCTCTCAAAGCTGGACACCACTCAGAGGCCAGTTTTTGGCTTCGGAAATTCCTCCAAGGACCAGTGCTTGTCGACGGCATGGATGTCCATCCAGGCCGGTGGCCGGTCCGGCCAGTTGAAAGTCCACACCTTAGATAAGGGTTCAGGACCAATTTTATTTTCGATAGAGACTTTGCGAGCCCTGGGAGCTATCATCGATTTTGAGCATGATATGATTTGCTTTCGAAAGCTCGATCCAGGCCGCATAATTCAGCTTGAACAGTCAAGTTCAGGCCATCAGTTGATTCCCCTCACCCAGGATTGGTACGAGGCCTCCTCACCAGCTAAGGAGCCCGTCTGCAGTTTGAAAGACATGATTTAGGGACAACTCCTCTCTTCGTCGCCGTCTGCCGACAAAAGAGAGGACCAGTATGCTGCAGACCTGGGTGAACAGTCAAGCCACAGTCAAACTCAAGAAGAAAGACGTGTTGTTTTTGAAGAGAGTGATTTTCAGTGTGTTGTCGATTCGTCGTTGAAGGGAAAGGGACAGTCACAAACGACACACTGTGATACCACACAAGACAAATACCACCACAAACTACATGACACACATGAACAATCCACACACGCGGCAGCCGCAACAGCTCGAGAGGCAGAAAACCACTCTTTGACAATCCAGCCTTCCTCGATTTCCAGCGGACATGCCCACCATGAAGAAGCCAGAACTCATCCAGGCCCTGAAGGACCTGGGAGAGACTCCTCCAAAACAATGGACCGTGCTGGAACTCGAGACCCGCCTTTCCGAGCTCCGAGTGGAGCAAGGCCTGCCCGAGTTCGATTCCAAGAAGACTCGGACACCACTCCGGCAGATGATGGTCGAGCTGAATCGTGCTCAACGTCTGAAGCACGAGCTGGTGGAACATGTCTCCAAGACTCTGCGAGTGCCCCTGACCGGGACCGAGACCATCAAGGTCCTGATGCAGAAGGGCATGGCAGTCATCTACGACCAAGCTCCAGCGAGTGGCCAAGACCCAGTTGGGTTCGGGAAGCACGCCAGCCTGAGCTACGAAGAGATCTGGATCAGTCATCGCTCCTACGCCACATGGGTGATGGACACCTCATGGGAGAACGGGGACGATGCTTGCCCCCGACTTCACCGCCTGGCCAATTGGCTGGAGGAGCGAAAGAAGAGAGTGGACATTGCCACACCACGAAAGGCAGCAGCTTCATCTCACACAGATCCAGCGGTGCCGACAACCCAGAAGAGCATGACCGGACCATCAGGGACATCATCCGGCTACGAGAAGCCGAACCCCGGATCCGATCACAAGACACACGAGATGATCCAGATGTTGGCCAACACCGTGGTGGAGCTCAAGGAGGAGATGTCAGCCCTGAAGGGAGAGTTGCCCCGCAAGGGTCAACGATCAGCTCCTTCGGAGGTCACGGACCAGAGTTTCGAGCTGATGCCTCAGTGAGTTTGGGCCTTAGCAAAGACCTTAGCTGCAGCGACCATAGTTTGAGACATGGTTATGTCTCAGAAGGGATGGAACAGGCAAGCTCTGCGAAACGTTTGAGTAGTGGAATGAACCGACATTTGTCTCAGAAAACAGATTCCATGTTGCCTGAAACCATTTAATCCTTGGCCCTGCACGAAAGGTGTGTTTTGTTAGAAATCGCTTGTAGCCAGGAGAGTTTGTTGAGTAGCACCATGCACACTATAACTGGCTCGGAGAAATCCGCACAGCGACTTTCGATATGGAACCACTTCGATCTGAGCAAAAATGACGGTGTCCGCTCGATCTTGGACCGCATCGATCGTGAACGACCATACCACACCTGGCTGTCCATGGAGTGTAGCCCCTACTCGGTCATGCAAAATATTAACCAGAGAACCCCTGAACAGAAGGAACAACTGGAACAAAAACGCCGTGAAGTTCTCAAACAATACGTAGGTGGAGCGATTGTGTTTCAATACTGCATCCAAAGAGGACTCCACGTGACCTGGGAGTGGCCTCAGACATGCCAGGCATGGAGATTGCCTCTGGTGCAGCACCTGATGCGAAAGTACCGTGTGCATTTTGCTATCACTAGAGGTTGTCAGGTGAACCTAAGGGATCAGGCCGGAAGGTTTATCTCTAAGGGTTGGAAGCTCATGTCTACTAGCTACCACATGGCTCAACGTATGGACCTCCCATGTGCTTGTAAGAAGGAAACGACACACGTGAGCTGTGAGGGTTCTTTGACACGCCAAACAGCTTTTTACACGCCGGAGTTCGCTAGGAGGGTTTGTGAGACCATCCTTCAAGGAGACGCGCCCCAAGAGATTCGAGAAGAACTGGAGGGTTGTTTTGAGGGTTGTGATCTGTTTGGTCGTGGTTTGATGTGTGTTTGTGAAGACGGAAAACGACACGATGCAAACCTCCAGTGCGGTTCATGTCGGAGTGATCTGACCGGGATCCTCGCCGCTGACGAGGAAGTTCCATGTTCACTTACCAAAGACCAAATTCACAAGAAACTGTACCTCCTCCATTCGGCTACCGGACATAGCCCCACCAAGTACCTTGTTCAGGCGCTGCGACGCCGAGGGGTTCACAAGAAAATAATTGAGGAAGCAGAGCGCTTCACCTGTTCCGTATGCGCGGAACGTGCACGTCCGCAGCCCAGGAATGTTGCGGCACTTGAACCCCAGCCACCAAAGTTCGCGACTTTGTCGGCAGACGTGGGAAACTTCATACAACCAAACACAGGTGAACACGTTCAATTCGTGCTGTTTGTTGATGAGGGATCTAGGTTTCGGGTGGCCCGAATCGTCACGAAAGGTAAGAAACAACACCCATCGGCCGCTCAGTTCATCACAGTGCTCAAAGAAGCTTGGATATCCTATTTTGGAACCCCTTTGAATCTTCGTTTAGACCCCGATGGCGCTTTTCGGAGTAGGGAGTTGCTGGAGTACTGCGATCAACATCAAATATTCCTGGATATCATTCCAGGCGAAGGACACTGGAAGTTGGGAACATGTGAACGCAGTATACAAGCAATAAAGGAGTTGCTGTACAAGGTATGTTCTGACATGCCAGACATTTCCATGGAAGATGCCCTGTCGGAATGTGTTCGTGTCCTCAACAACAGAGAAGTTGTACGCGGTTATTCACCGATTCAGCATGTTTTGGGAAGAGCACCAGACGACACAGGACGATTCTTCACACCGGACACCGCCAACTCACCAGACCTCTTGTCAGAAACGCCAGCACAAGAACACCAGCGAACAGCAGAGTTGCGACTAGCAGCTGAGAAGGCGTCTCTTGATTGGAACAACAACCAAAGATTGAGTAGGGCGAGAAACTCCAAACATCATCGTTTGTTGGATTTTACAGCAGGTGATTTGGTGTATATTTAGAGGAAACAAGTGACCAGTAAGGATGCACAACCAGTGAAAAGTACACATGGAAAATTTGTTGGGCCAGCCCGGATCCTTGCTACAGAAAACCGGAGAGATGACCAGGGTCATCTAATTGCAGGATCCTCGGTATGGTTAGTCAGAGGCCGGAGATTGTTGAAATGTTGTCCAGAACAGTTGAGACATGCCTCCGAACGCGAGAAAATCCTGGACGAGTTGCATTCAGAAGAGTCTCAACCATGGAGCTTCCCGAGAGTAGCAGAAGAGTTGGGAGGAAATGACTATGAAGATTGGTCAGAACATCCAGAGGAAAGTGAATGGCAACGTGCAGGAGACCCTCGACATGAATGGCAACCACATGTTCGACAACGAGGCAAACGACCTATGCCACCTGACTACGAGGTAGACGTGTGTCCAGAAGGATCAGCCAGTAGCCGGCTGAGGCGATCAGTTGACTTCCACGAAGCCCCAGATGAGAACATGCTGGCACAAAGCCTGATTCCACCGTGTGGATTCCAGTCGGGAACAACATGGATCCAGCAAGTCAAAGAGACAGCATTTCTCACAGAAGAGGAAGAAAGTTTCTGGCAACAAGAGACCGCAGCAGTATCCATTGAGATTGACATGCCACAGACACGAGGAGCTTCAGAACGAGTTTTCAAGAACCTGAGTGCCTTCCTGGTGTCAGCCATGAAAAGAAAGACCATAGAAGTCTCAGAGAAGCGAATGACCCCAGAAGAACGCATCGCCTTCCAGAAGGCAAAAGCAGTGGAGGTCTCCAACTTCATTGCCGCAAAGGCGTTTGAAGCATTGCCGAAGGGATACCGAGCTCGAAGAGAAGACGCAGTCAGGATGAGATGGATCCTCATCTGGAAGCAACTGCCAGATGGTGGCCGGAAGGCAAAGGCAAGAGCCGTGTTGCTTGGCTATCAGGACCCTATGTATGAAGGACGAGCAACGACATCACCAACTACCACCAGGCAAACGAGACAGATACAGCTGACCATAGCTGCATCCAAGGGCTTCCAGACCCGCAAGGGTGATGTCACTGGAGCCTTCTTGCAGTCTCGAGAGTACCCAGATGAGTTGCTATGCATCCCATGTCCAGAGATTCTGGAGGCGATGGGATTAGCGCCAGAGACCATGACAAAAGTTCGGAAAGCATGTTATGGACTGGTCGATGCGCCGCTTGAGTGGTACAGATCGATCAGTGAATATTTCCATACATTGGGACTTCGACGTTGTTGGTCAGACCCATGTTGCTGGACTTTTGTGGACAAGAACGAACTTCAAGGCATCATATCAGGACATGTCGATGACTTTGTCTTTTCAGGAAATGAAGATAACGTAGCCTGGAAGTCAATCTTGGAGTCCATACAGAGACAATACAAATGGTCAGATTGGGAAAGCGAACAGTTCACACAGGGTGGCATCAAGGTTGAACGCTACGCAGATGGAACCTATGCACTTTCCCAAGAAGCATACATTGAAGAGCTGAAGTACATCAACATTCGAGCACATAGAAAACAAGACAAACACAGCGAAACCGATGACTGGGAGAAAGGACAACTTCGAACCTTGCTTGGAGGTGTCAGCTGGTTGGCACAACAGACAGCACCACACTTCTCAGCAGAGACGAGCTTGTTGCTATCAGAAGTTTCACGCAGTACCGTAGAGACCCTGCATCGTGCAAATAAGCTGATGTGTCAAGTGAAGGCCATGAAAGACCACAAACTCTTGATCCCCAAACTCCGTTTGGATTCCCTGGGTTTGTTTGTTTGGTGCGACGCCGCAAACCAGAACCGTATTGATGGCAGTAGTACTCAAGGCTATATCATAGGCGCCTCACACCTCAACATGCTCGAAGGGGCTTGTGAACATGTTTCCCCGATTGCTTGGAACTCATCCCGTATTCAACGGGTTTGCAGAAGCCCCGGAGCGAGTGAAGCAGCAGCAGCAGTAAATGCTGAAGATGCCTTGTATTTTGCAAGGTTTCAATGGTCTGAAATGATAGGTAGGCCCATGCACTTAAGACATGTGAACGAAGCCGTGAACACCGTTCCAGGTTGCTTGATAACCGATTCGAGAAACGTATACGATAAGATGAAGACTGAGGTCGTATGCACCCGAGGTACAGAGCGAAGAGTAGACATCGAGCTGATGAGTTTGAAACATGGCCAGCTAAGGAACGCAGTGGTTATTCGATGGGTACACAGCGACGCCCAATTGAGCAATTCGCTGACCAAGAACGAGCAGAGGCAGTTGCAGCTGTTCTACAAGATGCACCAGAAGTGGCGCATTGTCCAAGACGCCAACATGGCATCCGCCAAGAAGAGGAAGGAACAGAACATAGACCCACTGACAAACAACATCACCTCACAACATGAACCAGACAAGCAACAGAACGACAGTAACTAGAAGTCCCGGACCTGGAAACGCGCTGTTTCGTGGTTCGCTTGTTTTCTTTTTTTTCGAAGAGTACGCAGTGGCTTGATTGCATTTAAAGGGGACCCGGTGGCATGCAATGCGAGCATTGTGACAGTTCGCTGTCCAACCGCCACCAGTCAAGTGGATCAAAAGAAGCTGTCCACGGGCCAGTTCGAAGTCGCACAGCCACTTCATAGGAGAGCCCCATAGGTTTCCTTGTCCTCTGGACTTGAGGTAGACGTAGGCTGTGCTGACCGCTTACATATATATATTTATATATATATATATCCCAGACACTCCATGTATGCCATATATGCCTACATTGGGGTGGTTTTGGGGATCAATGTAGGCATATATGGCATACATGGAGTGTCTGGGTATATCACTCCCAATAACAATGAATGTGTTTTTCCCCGCTTTGCATCTGGATCACTTCTGGACGGCTGGGCCAGCTGTGGGACTGTCAGTGTGAAAACGCACCTGCCTGCCTGACTGGTGGGAACTACTGTGGGAACAAAGAACCAGGTGAATGGAACATGAATGCAACACGGAGTGCGAAACCAGGACAACAAAATCCCATTCATGGAACATCCATGCTCAACTGCACAATACAGTGAGTATCGCGGGCCTGGGCCTGGATATGGCTGACAATCCTCCAAGAAAGACATATTCAATACATCGGGCCGATTGCGGCAGGCCGACCTAGAACCCCCCCCAACTGGAGATGAATGTGCGCAGCCGAAGCAAGTCTGGGACGCCCCTTGAAGGCTGGAAACTCAGACTGAACCCATTGAGCTCGTCAGTGTTGACTCAGTCATGCTCAAAAGGAATGACCCTGCAGGAAAGGTGTAACCACTTGATAGAAAACATGTAAATGCATGCAATAACGCCAGGGTTTGGGGACCTTTGGCGTTGGCATCAGTGGAAACATCTTGTGATCAAGAATCTGAAACACCTCTCCAAGAACGTGCTTTGCCCAGAGAAAGGTTGACAGGAGTCAATGAGTTGGTAGTCAAAAGTTCAATGCCTTGGTCGACAGGAGTCAATGCTAGGAAATTTGAAAGATAAAGCAGTATTACACTGACAATTGGCCCACACCAATGCAACTGTCTTGCCCACCAAAGAACACAAAGATCGGATGATAGGGGCACCTATGGGCACCTTTTTACTAATCAAGATCAAAATTAAGGTGGATTGGTTTGGTAATGCACACAGAGCACCCAATTGAGTTGCGCAGTTGCAAGCACATCTTCTGACTGGAATCACCCCGAGCTTGTACTTCGCGAGCTGGTTCTTCTTTGTGTATCCGGACAAGAGCCGACCGACAAAGCAATTCACCCAAAAGGCTATAATTAGTGGAAAGCTCCAACATCTGCAAGTCCACAGCTCACAGTGTTTTATTTTTTATTTTTTCTACTCATTCCACCTCATTCCACCAGTAAGGTTCAAACGAATATTTCGAAGCCATGACGCACCAACTCTAACAAAACATGGATCCAACATTCAACTCTGTGAGGTCGAGCTCCCCCGCCTCCTGCTCCCCAGCGGCTTCGGCTTGTTGAAGCCTTAACGAAATCGGCCGGGCGAAGCAACGACCGACTCAGAGGCCTAGGACTGGTGTGGCACCCATCTGGTAGAGGAACGTCACACGAGCCGACAGGGCCTGCTGGTGTCGCCCTGAAATTACTGTGGAGCAGGTCACGGGATGTGGGCATGTTCTTGGCCATTTTCCATACTCACCACTGGTGGATGCGACTCCTCTACGAGCAGCACGAGTTCCTCCTAGATCCTTCCTCAGGCGCCCACAAGCTGTTGCTCTGCTGCGCCAGCCAATCTCCCAAGCCCTTCAGCTGGCCAAAGCCCACCTGGGCCAGTCGTGCGGTCCGAAACTGCTCCGTAGGAGCAGCACAAAGCGGAGAAGAAAAACATCTCCACCATCAGCTTCTTCCACAGTTGGCTCTGTGAGGGTCTCTAAGTGTTGCCTCCAACTACGGCCGACACAGAAAGAAGTGAAGCACCTAAGCACCTTCATCTAATTCCGGGCACCGAAACAATCCAAAGCGCTTGCCCAGCAGTTCCATGCCGGGGTTCTTTTATTGGGGGGGTAGGGGTGCCCCTGTCACATCCACTCACTTGGGGACTGGTGCCCTTAACAATCCCTTTGGAACGTTTTGTTCATCTGGGCGACACCTCCAGGTCCATCGAGTCAGAGTCAGTTCACAAACCATACAAACTCCCGACCAAAAGGATCAGCCATCTTCCCAAATCACGCCGAGTTTTCGGAAAGACGCCCCCGCAATTGACCCATGTATGCCGGGCTTCCCCGGCCAGTTTCGACGAAAGCCCCTCCTGTCAGCCAAGGGCTCAAGCAGTACAGGAGATGTAGGGGACCTATAGAAGGAACGACACACATAATATGAACAAGTTGAGGGTATTCAGCACGGAAGAGAAGTATATATACTGTACCTTGCAGAGTCCTTGATACCGGAAAAGAGCTATTCAACATTATATACAGATCTTTACCTTTTAAATTAAGATACACGAAGATACTGCTTACAATTCCTTCTGACTTGGCTGCCAGGCCCACGCCTTGGGCGCCGTGCAGCGCTGGCTTTCTGCCGGATGACTCGCTCCGCCGCCGTTCCGCCGCTGCCGTAGGGCTTTCAGCCGCAGCTCCGCCTTCAAGAGCGAGTGGCGCAGCGCCTGAAGGGGAAGGACTGCACTGTCGAACACTGAGGCACTCTCCAGTTCGAGGTTTTGGCCGAAAGGAACCTGGAGAAGTGAATCCACTGGTCTAGAGCTAAGGATGATGTGACTTGTCATTCGCATGTTGAACTCCTAAGCTCTTAGACTCTTGTGGGATCCTTGCGTGGATCCACTGACAACACTATGGGAAAGGTGTGGTATCCAGCCCTGTAGCGGCGATCCAGCCGTGCTTGAAATGGATTTCAACCGATGCCATGGACCCACTCCTCCAACCGTCGCTGAATTTCGGCCCGATCCAAAACCGATGTCTGCGTAGTGCACATTGTTCTGCATAGACACTCGCATGTCGACAATGCGAGATGTTCTGGAGTTAATATATTTTTTTCCATCGGTGTAGACTTGTGCTTGCACTAAACTAGAAAATTCATGTGGCCATGGGACATGTCACCCGTGTGCCAGCATTTGCTACTTCAGAACAAATGACCTAGAACATGCCACTACACTGCTCTGCAAACAGGAAGATGGTCTTCCATGGGTTCAATTTCAGGTTCCATACAATTAGCTTTCCCCGCAGTACCCTCGAACACTTCTCACGGACATACCAAAACAAAACTATTGTTAATAAATAGTGTATTATACCAGGACCCAAGGGGTGGTTAATGGACACCCCTTGACAGCTAGGGGCTATAAATAGACACCCCGACAGGAGGGTCCTGGTAGTATCACTCCATGTTCTCTACCTAACAGGGTCCAGAGTCCCTCGTCTGAAGATCCTGGCCCGCCACGTTTCTCTCAACGTGAACGTCGTTCCCAGACACCGTCTCGGACACCGACCAAACACGAAAAGGTGTTTGAGGGCAGCCTGCACCGTCTCCTCTGCTGCCTGGATCTCTTTGTCCAGGTCCGCGCGGATCCGCGGGTCCTGGACATGAGCTCCGCCCAGCTCCGCCGAGCGAAAAAGCGGGGTTCCCCCAGCTCGGCCGGCCGAGCGAACGGCGGCCGAAGAACGCTGGAAGACGTCTTCTCTCCCCCAAAGCAAAAAAGACTGGACCCAAAAGACATGACTGTTCCCATGCTTAGTGGCGGATGTGTTCCTGATCTCTAACGCTCCAAACGCTCTTTGTGGCATCAAAGCATTCTTGGGGATTGAAACGAAGGAACTGCTTTCGGATCAGCTCTTCATCGGCGAGTGGATTTGGTTCTTGACCATGTCATGAGGATAGCTGGTTTGGACTGGTGAGCAAGCCTAATTACAGGCTGTATTAGATAGATGTTGCATTTCTGGGGAAAGCCCCCCCCAAAAAAATTATCCATGACCTGCCTAAAAAAAGGGGGCTTCTAACTTCTCAGAGTCATCTGCTGTCTGTTCCCACTCGTGGGAACAGGCCGCCTGACAACCGAACGAAGCCATCAGAAACATGCGCAGCTGGGAGTCTGGATCAGTAAGGCTCCCCAAATACGGACGCAGCTGGGTGTCCAGGTGCGCCAGGGCTCCTTTCCCAAAGTGGCCTTCCCGGCGCCACAGACCTGGGGAACCCCCTCAATGTCGCAGGGACGCGATCCTCGTTCTGAAATGCAAACAAAAAAAACTCCTTTGGAACAGTCACAAAAGGCTAGCTCCAACACACGTGTCTTTGTGCATCATGTTTAAGATGTTTGAGACCCAAAGGATAGCTCCAAACGTCGAGATTCACACAGCCACGTCAGCAGCAATCTATCATCGAGTGTCCAACATGTCACCATCCCAACAAGGTCAAACCCATCCTTATCCGGTCGTCTCTTCAACAACATCTATCATCCATGAATCCTGATCACCTATTTCTCAGCCTACTGTTGACCCACATACGTACCATTACGTATCCCTTTAAATGGGCCTCACTGACATGGTTTCTGCCAGTGTCCGACGCTTTCCACCAGCAGAACCATCCGTCCTGCTCCCCGTCGGAGTCCAAAGGTCCCCCCGTCGCCATGGGCGCCCAGCGCAGCGAAACCACGGGCTCCGAGGTGTTGGTCGTTGGTGTGGCGACCCAAATCCAAGTCATGTGGGTGGTTTTCTGTGTAGCAACTACCTTTAACCACATCAAACTCAAGTAATTCTGTGTTGCAAATCAAGGTCCCAGCAGTCGATTCGATGGATGCACTAGTTCAAAGGGGATGTCTTAGTGGATACTCCAAACTCTATCCAGCTCCGTCCAGCTGGATACATCTCTGAATCTGTCTATGTCCAGCTCCCACCAGCTAGTTTCTTTCACCGTTCATTCTGATAGCCTCCATATAAACGCATCTGTTGGGGAGCACTGGCCTTTTGTGTGGCTTGCTGGTCATAGGTTTTCGTTGTTAGGTTGCTGCCAGTCAATCCGACAAATCGGATGGACAATGGCCTACTATACATGACGACGTACAACGTCCCCATACAGAATGAGCAAGGCAAGCATCTGCAGTCTCATTGTGTTTCTTCAGTCTTCTTCTGAGCCCAAACCTTGCAGATCTGATCCATGAGATCGCCTCTAGTCGTGATTTTTCGGCGCAAACTTGACAACGCGGAACAGCAACACACACACAGGGAGACGAATTCGTTCTAACAAATATCAACTCTCGACTCTCAGCTATAGTCTGCATCTGTTTCAGCTCATATAAATCTGTTGGAGCTCCATCCGCGCCAAATGCTGACTCGGTTTAGAATCATAGAAGGGATCCTACACTTGTCTAGTCGACTTTCTCCTCGACTTCCTAGGCCAACCTCGCCGGAGTTCGCTGGTTCACACGACCGATGGTCCGCTGGAGGAGGACCACGTTATGCCTGGATGGGACTAGTGGGACTAGTGACTAGTGAATTCACCAACAGCTGGTTCCTGAAGAACCATGTTGGTCGATGAGGCGAGGTAAGCACCTATAGTGACCAGGAGGTTGCCATGTGAGTTGAATGGATGTGCATCCGACATACCCAAAGAATCCCCGTCAACCATCGGAAAGGTCCAGGGCAAGATTGAGCAACGATCATGCATCATTAGGTGGTTGATCAAGCGTGTCTTCCAGGGTCAACTCTGCCAGCACACAAACTGGGCCCGGGTGAAATCACTTTTTTGGTGGACTGAGAGGACCCATGGCACAGACTCCAAGGTCGGTGGTGAACATCTGAACCTCCGATGTGTCATACGGACATTGGTTTCGGTCTGTGCCATCGAACCTCTGAAACCACTGTAACTTTCACTCCTCAACACCTCAACACCTCCTGGAACCTCGTCAGCACACTCACTTTGCCAAACATCTACAAATTGGTCCCCTGGTCCACAAACTGGATGAAACCACTTTCTAATTTCACAACTCAAAACTCTGCGTGCCTTGTTGAGAAATCCGGTGACCTCTTCACTGCTTTCCTCGCTTTCCATGCTTCCTTCACTGCTTTCCTCGCTTTCCATGCTTCGCCTGCGAGGGACGGTGGGAGTGTCTACCACTAGAAATGGCACCAGGCCTCTGTTCCTTGTGCCTGGCGGCGCCAGGGGCACGGCTCCATCTCAACTGACCTTGGCAGTCCAGCCCATAGCTTGAGGAAACGAACGCACCAAGACTCTCGTGATCGCCTTTCAGGACATCCCAAAGATTCGAAACTAGAAGCAATGACCTCCAACCGAAAATCGACGGCTTCCAACCTAAGAGCGACGGAAACTTATGGAAACCCTGATTTTGCTTTCGCAACTTGCTGCACTTTGTTTGCAAACTCTACGTATGAATTCGATACCTACACAGTTGGTGAAATGAAAGGTGTTTAACAGCTGTCCGGGCCAACCAGTGACAGTGCGAATGACGGATCTCAGCTTTTGTACTGACGTACTATCCCTGAGAGTCCAGTCATGACTCACACCCTCGGTGATGATGGATCATGACTTGAGTCCCGCTATATCTCACCATGGTGACATATATAGCCAAGACGCGTGTCGAGCGGAGAGCACCAGAACTCGCACTGCGAACAGCCAGAAATGCCAAAAATGCTGGTACTCCCCGAGCCACCCAGGCATCATGCGGCCTCGAAATGGGCTCGACCACCGCGGCATGCAGGGCACAGCCCAGATTGCGAGATCAGCGAATCCATGCACGAATCCATCCATGATAGCCAAAGAATGAGAAACCTTCAGAAGGCCCTTGGAAAATCTGGGGAAGGGATGGGAAAAAGGATACACCCGGGCCGGTTGGCCAGCCCGGCTTCAACCTCAACATCATGAATGACCTATACTTCAAAGGTTTTCTTTGCAAATCAAACAGTAACATCAACATCACTGCTTTCCTGCAACTTCGCCGCCCACATCCGCCCACAAATCCTCTTCACCTCACCCGCCCCACATCCGTCTCCGCTGTCCCGGCCCCCGTCGCTCCCGGCCCGCCTGCCACGGAGGGAGTCGGTGCCACGGACCTGCCTGACTGGCGTCCCAATCTCGCCTGACATCGAGAAGTAAGGTATGTTCCCTGGGGCTCCAACCACCTCCTGAGAAGGTGGTTGGGGTGGGTTTGGGGGGTCTAACCACCTTCTGAGGATATGGTTGGAGCCCTAGGAGTTGTTGGTCCTACAATTGTATCAACTTGATTCGAACCGATCGAACGAGGGAGCTTCGTGCTGTCTTCTGTCTGCAGAAACACATTTGCAACACATGGCCCCAACGAAGCAGCCAAACAATAAGAGGCTTTGCCCATCTTCAGGAATACATCAAAGATACAGGATGACAGAGATATCGGTGAAACGTCCTTCTTCGCCATTGAACTCAGGTTCCCTGATGCCCCAGCTCTGTTTGCAACACGCGGTGGATGCAGAGGTTTTTTGCTCAGCAGTGGATCTTCGCATTTCACCCCCCGGCGTCACCCCGGCCTTCTCTGCATGCAGCAAAACTTTGGCTGCACGTCAGACGTGGCACTTGGCAGTGCACCATGGGACGCATGACGGCCCGGCTGAGACGTGTAAACAAACGGTGCACGGAGAGGTGTGCTTTCGGTTAGACTCTAAGGTGTTCTGGTACGACATACATGACTCATGTCATGACTGTCAAGGCAACAGTATGTATAAGTATATTTAAAAAAGAATGTGTTCCCGCACAATCTCTGACTGAATCCATCCATGCACCATTCCCTTTATTGCCTCTTGTCCATTCTGTCATTCCTTGTCAAAACAAGGTCTACTTGACTTTCCTACTCATTGCCATTAGGAAGTATTTGACTTCCATTTGCCCGGAAAAAAAAAAAACATCACCACCTTTTGTGTTGTTTCAATGATCTTGGTCGCCTCCAAGCTCCCTCGCCGGGGAAGACAGGTTGGACCCATCCCTTCACGTTCTGTCCAAACGGCTCCCATCTGTGCTGAAGGAAGGCACCAAAGGTGCCAAGTTTCGAGCTTTGGTTCCTTCATTGTGCTTCCATCGGCACAAGCAGAAATGACATCCCTAAGCTCCGGTCCTGAGAGCCCTTTAAAGATATGGCTTAGGCTAACCTGCAGGGGACAAGGATATAACTTGACATCCCTGACCTTAGCATGAAAAAGCAAGTACTGTCCCTGGCCTCAGTTTACACAAGGTTTGCTGCTCAATTATGAGAAATGACAGCAGTTAACAGAAATGGCAAACATATCCTCAGCAAGAATGTTCTCGCTATAAATTCAAGCCCTAACGTCCCCTGGGGGCGAGGCAATCGTTTTACATTCATCTTGTTTTATCAATGACACGCTGCCCCCGCTCCATGTTATATGGAACACCGCCTTGGGGAAGAAATGACTTCTTAAGCATTTTGTAGTGCTTAGCTGGCAACTCCTTTAGAGGAAGCCGAGCCGGCCGAAGCTCCCCTGGCCTTCATGGCGTCTTCACATGACTCGGAGGTCGGGGGGTTGTTTCATGTTTCATGGCTCCCAAGGGTAGCCTAGTTACCCTATATATATATATATAGGCTATCCTTGTTATGATACCCATGATGTTTAATGGCTCCCTTATGTTTATAAGTTGCTCCGAACTTCATGTTCCGAACTGATCAGTGGCATCGTGGCTAAGGCTCGGCTCCTGCAGCCGTGTGATTTACCTAGTCGACGCCGAGTCGAAGGGGAGACGCCGAGTCCGGATTTTGCCGCGAAGAACGCGGGAGATCGATGCCCATCTTACTCCGGTCTTCCAAGTGGATGCCAATGGATTGAATGGGATTGAGTCGATGGGACGGATGGATCCACTGACTAGAAATGTCTGGCCGATGGATCCACGAGCCGCTCACCGTCTCTCTGCTCCAGTTTGGAATGACCCAACCCACCCTCACCACGGAAGGTTCGCTTCTTTTTTCAAGTGATCTCAGGGTCTTCTTCCTGGCGAGCGGGTGATCGACTGAGCTTGATACCAGTAGCTCCTTCAGCTGGACTGTGTTGCAAAGCCTGGATCGATTGGGATTGAGTGTTGGATCGTTTGCGAACCCCGGGGCTACTGTAGCGACCACCCAAGGACTCAGTAGCGACCACTCACTCAACCAAACCCTGGGAATCCCAGAAGGTTGGATCGAACCAACTACAACAAGAGGGATCAATGGAAGAAGTGACCACCAAGCCCAACGCTTGGGGGTGACCAGACGAAGGGCCCTGGGATTCCCATGGTTTCTTTTCGGAGAAGGGGATGATGGGATAACTTCACCTTTACACCAGGACCCTCCAAGGGGTGCCCAATGGAAGCCTATAGGTAGTGTGGGGTAGTCCATTGGACACCCCTTGGAGGGTCCAGGCAGTAGCTGCTTAGCCCTCCTGTTTTCGTATGTTCCTCATGTCAACAAATCCCTGGACCGCAGGGAGCAGCTCCTGACCTCCACTCCAGCCTGCTGTTGCAGCAGCCTAGGTCACCGGAAACACGGCATGATGACATAAAGTAAGATTGTGAGACGGTAGTGAGACGCACAAAATCACTCAAAAGCATTCTGGACCCCACTGGTTCAAGGGTAGGATGCTCGCAACACGCGTCTCTAGACTCTAGTGGCAAAGCGTATCGGGACCTCTCTCCTCTTTGCTATCAAATAGATCAAATGG